TGTATGTTACATGAAATTATGTACATGTATATGTCATGTTGTGATTTATGTTTTTCTTTTGGCCCTGAATCAGAATTAGAACTAAACTATTAAACTATTAACTATTTTCATTGTTAATTAAAAAGAAAATGAAATATTTTCTTGATTAAACATTTACTCACTTATATAAATGGTAAAAAAAATGCCTAAACTCAAACTCCTCAGCCTGAGAAAACTCCATCAACTGAGGAAGACTGTGAGATGTGACTGAAAGTTCCAGAAAGTTAAAAGTGATTCAGCATCACTATAAAGTTGACGGACTCACGATGGACAGTTTAAAAAAAAAAGATGAAAATCGATGCAGCAGAAACAGAGATATCATCCTCCTCCCCGTCAAACCTGGCACCTCCATTACCCATCATGCAACTTGCCCGCCGACAGTGTGGTCAAAGACTGTGTGTTATCCTCGTAGCAGCTGATGTAGCCTCGAGCTGCTAGCCTCAAGCAGAGATGTGGATACAGAGGTCTGATGAACCCACTTCTTTCCACACCCCCATATTTTATTTTAATTCAGACTTGCAGTCTTCAGCTCCAGCTAACGCCGCCTCAAGTGACATCGCTAGAGGACATTTATCAGACAAACTCAAGCTCAGCTCCAGAGCGAGCTGCCCAAGACCTGTAAACACACTTTGATGAGTTTGATTTTTCAAACTCTAAGGTGAAAGAAGGTGAAAGAACTTTCATGCTCAAATTTTTACATCTTGTTTTGTCCAACCACCTGGTGCAAACCCGAAGATCTTTACTGATCAAAAGATGTAAATCCTCACAACTAAAATCGTTGCTGATTCATTTTCTGTTGATCGATTAACTGATTGTGATCATTGCAGTTCTGCATACTGGAAAATGCATTGCTTTGTTTTAGCTGTGTTTTGTAATCCAGTGTGGGATGGGATAAATGGATGCCATGACATGGAAATTTAAATTAACCAATTAAAATTAAATAAACAGAGGAATGAGAGGAGAGTTTGTCTTTCGTATGTTCATGTACATGAGGAGTGGTGTGGCTGCGCAGTTGTCTCTCTCTGTGGCTCATTAGTTCATCACTGCAGTGTTGAGACCAAACCTTTAACATCGCCACGAGCATCACTTTCCTCCAGCAAATGGCAGTGTCCAATTAGTTTAAGAATAACATGTATTCCTCTCCCTGACTGAACCTAAAAACAGGTCCACTATCCAATAACCTTTAGAGTACACAGGCTGTGACTTTGCCTTCACCTCAATAAAGCGCTCCATGATTGAATCAAGTGGCTGAGGTCAATAGGACATATGTTCATTTCCCAGGGTCCTCTGGGGTCCCTGCAGGCAGAAGAAATATGCTGAGTGTCTTCTGTGACATTTATTGGATAGGAACTAAGTTATATGTCTTTTTTTTTTTTAAATTCTTTTTCTCATTTCATCTCTTTCACTTTCAGAAAGGGTTCCACTAGTCTGCATGTGTGTGTGTGTGTGTGTGTGTGTGTGTGTGTGTGTGTGTGTGTGTGTGTGTGAGCATGTTGTGTGCGCTTATACACAGTATTTCAACCCTGTGGTCACGCTTCAGGCACCAGCACATACTACATCTGTCACTGTCTCTACCACGTCACCTCAATTTTCTGCAAACAAGTTTCACTCCTGTGCCTTGAAGGACAGACACTTCTTCCTCTCGCTCTTCTGTTCCCATCTGTCTCTGTCACTCCTTTCCTGCTCCCATCACTTTACATCTGTCAGATTCCAACACTGTCTTTTGTCAGCCGTCTCCCTACTTTTCATCATCTCTCCTTCACTTCACTTAGATTATATTATGGCGGCAGTTGGAAACATTATGATATAGTAAATTCTAAATCGGACTTCAGTTAAGGCTTTTATAGGTAATTAATTTTCCACTGTAGCTTTCACATTTGGTTTGTCAATACAGGATCAAATGACTAATGCACTAACCAAGTCTTGTCTTTCACTTCCTGAGAAGTCGAGTCCATGAACTCATCATATTATATAAAGTGGCAAGAAATTCATTCAACCAATCATGTAAATTAACTATGATTATTTAATATTTATTTTTAGGGACAGAACTGGAGCAGAGTATACATTCAATACACTAATGGCCTCATATCTTCAGTGCACTGCAGTATTGTCTACTATGCAAACATTTCATTAAAGCAATATAGATTTTTTTTTAATAAATGAAGTATATTCCCTGCTCTGTTATAGTATCCCAGCATGCATCTGTTGTTGTTATTAATTAAAAAGAAATGTGCATCACATATGAAAGAGTTGGTTTTCCAATTGTTCTACAGTGTTCTGTATCTACAAAGACTTCTGGGAAAACTGTTTCTATTAGATCAGCTGTTCTGAAACTACAGTGTGCACAATACACAATCCATGTTTACATTATGCATAGGTAAATATTCAAATATTCAAATATGGACATATCCAAGCTGATTGTAATAACAAGAGTAAAATTCTACAGCAGCTATGTGAGGCTGTATTCAGCATCATCATCATGACATCATCATGACATCATCATGCTGCTGTAAAGCAGCTGCAATGTTAACCATGGTCACCATGTTAAGTTAGCAATCGAACATTTGCTGAGCAGGCTTAGCCTACACACAAAGTACCACAGAGGCTGATATGTAATGTCTGTTTTGCTGATATTAAGTATTGGACAAACTTATAATTGAACCTGATGATAGCTTCTATATTGAAAGTCAAGAGATCACCAAGGCTGTTACAGTTCATCCTGGAGGGACCATGAATGTTGGTGTTCTGACTCATCAGTAGTCATTACGATATATATATATATATATATCTGACAGACAGACGGACAGGGAGACATTGATGCTGATGATGATTCAGTTGCGTTGCAGTTGTGTTCCTGATCAGATCATAAAGATATAGATAAAAATCTATAAAAGATAAACTACGCGATGGTCCTGTCGGATCATTTCAGTGTAATGAATCATAGATCAGTGTATTTGTTAGATTGTCCACAGAGAAAGAAATAAAGGGTTAATCATTAGTCTCTTGTATGAAACAGTTACAGTAATAATAATGTGCTCCTGACACAGCTGTACATGTAGCTCATGGTGTGAACTGTTCAGTCTCACTTCAAACTCTCTACTAGAAAATTATACCATCCTCAATTCTGTTCTATTATTAGAGCCTTGTCACATAGTATTATTGCCTGAGTGATTTTTGAGTGACAAACATAATAAGTGCAACATGATGATTTGATGATACTGTCTGTGTGCGAGGGCTGTATGTCAAAGCACATTATTCAAAAACAGTAACTTAGTGAGTGTCACACAGAAGACTGAACCCAGTCACCCCTCTGAATACAGTTCTTTAGTCAAAGGAAACTTTACGTAATTAAGACACTGCACTAAATTAACAACTAACACATTAACAAGACAAGACAAATTATTTGACACGTCTATTGACAGATTAAGGTCAGTCCTCCTTTTAGCACCCCCCAGCTTCTCAGTCCTCTCCTAAACTCCCTAACTCAGCAGCCTTTGCCAGAGGGGATTCTGTTTTACCTTCCAGCCCCAGGGTGACCCATGAATCTGTGTGACCTCTGAGGGATGAAGCAGGGAGACATAACTCATCCAGGCAGCTTCAACAAGTACACTCTGTGTTCCCCCTCGACCTTAAAACCTGGCAGTAAATTTAGTGAACTCCCAGTAATAAACTCTCCCCCTAGAGGGCTTAGCTTCTCAGGGTAGGAGTGCTGACCTAGCATTACCATCCTACCGTTTGACCATCTCTTTCATTATAATTCAAAAGGTGAAATGGATACAAGACGGGTTTTATTATTCTAAAACCTTTGTGAAATGTCTGCCCAGGAGACCGAGCCTGGGTAGAGCTCTGCAGCTGATGCCGCTGAGCAGACCAGGGGATCGGTGGAAAAGGTTGGGGAGCTCTGCAGTTTGTGAGGCTGTGGTTGTTAACCCTTATTATCTGCACTTCCTTCTTTCAGAGAGGGGTAAGAGCTCTTTCCTCACTCTCGGTACTTTCCAGTCTGAGTCCAGTGTTTTTGGACTTGCAAAACCTGTGCTCCAGAAGGACTCACAGACCATCTGCACTTACCCTATTCTGATGGCCGTATAAGCCGTGACCTCCTGCTCTCTGCCCTCCGTTTGTTTCTGCACAGGCTTCATTCCATCACTCACAGCTAAACCTACACACACACATGCACACATACGTTTGGTTGCTGCATGCAACCTGACAGATTCCTGCCTGAGACACACTGCAGCGAAGAGTGTTTAACTGGCAACAGCACACACTTGACGCTTGCAACTCTACGATTCAGCGAGTAGACACTGTCACCTGTTGGGAACACACTCAGCCCCTGTTTAAACCTGGGGACTAAAACAAACACACAGCTGTTGCCTTTCTGACAGGTGGGCCGTGTTGTGAATTTCCACCTGTCCCTCAACCATAAAAATCACCGTATTGGAGCAAAAACTAAAAGAGGATTTTACATTTACATATTATGTTTCATGTTGTATGAGATCAGTGTCATTGGTTAAGCCAGTGTAAGGTAATCTGTGATTGTAGTGAGTATAAATATCTTAAAAAATAAAATTAAATCATTCCTTCCTCCCGACACTGTACAGGAGATTACAGATTATACTGAGCAAATATTTTGCACTTTTCTGTTTTTACTTTCTTTGAGGACAGATTCAAATTCCTGGATCATGTTGCACATTGTGAGACTGGAAAATCAATCAAAATGTTTAAAGGCGCTCAGACAATTATCTGGATATCTGTGTTATGTCTGAGATAGCTTCTCGGTTACTCTTAGTTCAGTGATGTGGTTGACTTCTGTACGAACGCTTGACTGTGGTCATTCATACTGTAGATGCTTTTCCTGATGAGAGTTATGTGAGAGTTATGTATTTTTTACAGAATTATTATCACAGTAAACATCTCTCAGCACTGTGTTCATGCACACACCAACACACACCAACAGAACTTACTGGCTACTTCCAGGGATGCATTGTGACTGATTGCCTGGCCCAGATAGTTTCGGGCCACGCACACGTAGCTGCCATCATCGGGCTTGCTCCGTCGCCCGTGGACGATACGTAGGAAGAAGAGGGACCCGCTGGGCAGCAGCATACGGTGGGAGCGGGGGTTGTCACGGTCCGTCTCAACACGCTCCCCATCTTTGTACCATTCCACCGTGGGGGTTGGACGGCCCTCTGCCTTACAGTTGAGAGTGGCTGGTTCCCCTTTGGACACAATGAGGTCAGAGGGGTGCTCCACGATGCGGGGAGGGAAGTCTTCCTGGCGAAGACGAGACCCTAGAGGGTTAGAGGAGTAAGGTCGTGATTAAACAAGGACGAGGATCAGTTCAGAGTAGCTATACTAGTTATATAACACTTACTGTACATGTCAATGGGACACAAAAAACACAGTCATATAATCCCTCCATGCAATAAAGAGTAGTACTAATCAAAACAGCGGCAGCTCTAAAGGAATTAGATATGGTGCATTATTATTGCTGCGCAAGTGCCTTGTATTAAAAATAATCCAGTCTGACAACTTAATTACCACAGAATCACGTCACTCATTAAATGTTTTGTGTTTGTTTCAGCAGCTGGAACCTCGAGAGGCACTGAAAATTAAAAAACGCTGACACATGAAATCATCAGGATAATATCTTTCAAAACAAGTTTACCCTCAGAACATGTATTTGCACGGAAATATGTTTATACAGAGGTTTTGAGAAAAGCTTAAAGGCTGAATTATTATTGGATTAGAGAGTTATCAGTTATTACACCAGGGTCATCATTTTACCCATTTAAATATAGTTTCAAACACAGTGAAACTTCTAGAGCTATAGCATCTCTCAACTCTCAAATGTATAATGTGTATCTTCACAGTTCATCAGTGACAAGGGAAAGAAGTAAGGTGGAAAATATTCTGAGCAAAAGACAAAGGCTGTTCATCCTCAACATGAGCCATCTCTCCTCCACTCTACTGCAGTAACTTGTGTATGTGTGTGTGTGTAAACTTATTTATGTTACGTGCTCACCACAGCCTCTGAAATCGTTAAACCAGCCATAGAAATCCGAATCAATACCTCCAATCATACCCACACTAACAACCACAAAATCACCTCTAATCCCTGATACACTGTTGAGATGCCAATCATGCTCTCGCCTCACCGTCTTCTCAGAGAAACTGTGGAACAATGAGTTCCTGTGAGGCCGAGGACAAAGAAAACCTCCCTAATGAGATCCAGGTACACAACTCCAATGTTTCTGTACATCTTACACTCCTCCATCTCTTTCCAGCCTCCTAACACAGCCAAGCATGCACACTAGACCCTCGCCAACCACGACCACACACAGACCCCCCCCCCCATTGTCTTTCCTTCTTCCCTCAGTGCTGTGTGAATGCTGGAGACTCTACAAAACAGTCACAGGTACTACAGTTCTGTCTCAGATTTCCTAAACTACAATGCACAAAACAACTGTGCTAAAAAAAACTGCTAACAACACAATGTAGAGAGAGTGAAGAGAAGATGGAAAGAACACAACATTAATGTCAGCCACTGTTTACCTATTTTACAGCCGTGGGAACACTTTCTGTTCTCTCATGCTGTTGCAAACACTAACTTACACAGCCTTCAGTAGGCCAAGCTTTAATGTGCCAATGGTCCTGTAAAGCAGATAATCACTATCGTGCTCAACAGTGATGAGCTCCTGCACTCCTGCTGCAACCAATAAATCCCATACAGACAAGTGTTTACCCAGATAGAACACCTCACACACTGTGAAGTGCAGGGTGAGAATTTGATCCATTGGGTAGTGCGGTACACTTCTGTGTGTTAGCACAAGTCTGCATTAACTGTATTTTCCGAAAAGCTTACACAAAAACTCTGCAACAATAGGAGCATGATGTGCACAAGCTTATCGTTAAAAACTAAGGGGTGTGCTGACACGTGCATGTTTTGCACCCAAAAGCTCTATATTACCTGGACAGTAGCAGTCAGACTAAATGGATGTGGGCTGCTGAGATAAGCCCTCCCACTGCCTCAGTCTTACATTCTTTTTTTTTCTTTTCTTCCATTTGCCTCCTTTATCTCCTTTTCCTTTAATGTTGTTAAATGGAAAACCTAGCTAAAAGGCTACATGCTAATGAACAGAAAAACTGACTGACAAAAAGCTGAATCAAGGTAATTACCCACCGGCCAAAAATGCTTCTTAGTACCAAGCACTTTTCATACATATATAAAAAAGCCCCTGGCCATGCAGGGTAGGATTTATTTTGCTCATGTTCTGCTGCAGTACAATAGAAAGTGAATAGTACTGAATTAAATCAAGAGTCAACAGCCTCAGCTCTGTAAGGCTGTAGCTGTGTTTTCAGCAAAATGCTAATGTCGGCATGGTAATGATGTTTACCATGGTCATCAACTTAGTTTAGCATGTTAGCGTCGTAACATTTGGTAATTAGCACAAAGCACATCCAGCTGAGGCCGATGGGAATGTCAGTAGTTCTGAATGTTTTTAAGTAGAGAGGTGGGTGTGATGTTGCACTGAGAAGTCGGGGTTCAGCCTCTGGGCAGCCTCTGCATTAAAGTGGTGGACTGACCACTGACATGCTGTAGCTGCGAGCAGGTAAAAATTTAAAACCAACACTTTTTTTTTCCTTTTTGTAAATGTAGTGAATTGAAACAACACAAAAAGTAATCGCAAATATTTAAGTCCAGTTTTACACACTATCTAGACATTTAAACCGACAACAGAACAATATAAACAAGGCGGCCACTGTGGCCCAGGGTCCCTGTTTGCAGCACACATGCTGCTTTCCTTGTTCTTAATTGTGTTGGGCTGATGCCTGGGGGGGGGCATGCAGCTCCCTAAGCTTCCTGGCATTATAGAAAGGCAATATCAGCCCACCACAAGTGGGCCCCCAGAAGACCAGGCTTTATCTGCAAAGGGCCAGCAGCCAGCATACACTCAGTATGCAAAAACATGAACACAGATGCACAATGGAGAACATACATACACACTAAAGGTCATTTGTAGCACCTGTACCCCCCACAAATATTTTCTGTGTCAGTCATCCCTGAGGCAGTTATGTTGTCTTGTGAAGATCTAGTGAGAGAGGCAGATTGAACAGCAACAAACACTAAAGAGTGAAAGGTGGATAAAGAGTCTGTCTTCTCCAGAACTGCGTGTGTCTCAAGAGAATTAAATAAAATGTGCAGGAAAAAAAAACATAGTAGAAAGCTATAGTATGCTGGAGCAACAAGCAAGGCATTTAGTATTTTATTCAAGTAGGGTTGGAGAATCTGTGAGGCAGAAAAGAAAGCATGAGGAGATAAATTACAGGAGAAAGGCAGCAGGAAAAGAAGAGGTGATGGAGGGGGGGGGGGGGTTGAAGCAACAAATCATGAGCACTGAGACTGTAATAACACAATGTGACAAATATGAGTGTAATTTACTGCAACATTGGTGGTCTCAGATCGACCTACCCCAGCGTCATTTACACTACAATACTGTATGTATTTAGAGTTCATGAAAGGAAGCTACTATTACTGTTTGGATCCAAACCAAAGAAATATACAGAGAAAATATCAAATATCACACTCAAATTAGTCACACTACCCGTCAGTGCAGTGTGAAAAATGACCCTATACAAAGGTATAATGCCTCAGACCAGCTGACACACACACACACACACACACACACACAGTTTTAACTCAGATTCACACTGAAAAACCTTCCAACTCACTTCTTAAAAAAACTGTCTTTGTGGTTTTCCCAAACAAGTGTATACTAGAGACGGAGGAGGTGACATTTATTAATGTAGTCTTAGTGCCACCCTTTGGTGCTGCTGACAGCTGTGTGACACGTTCAGCTTCCTCAGTGACTCTGACATGGAGCCTACCCGAGTCACAGTGGTGGAAATGGAAAATCTCCACCTGTAGAGCTGTGGGATTACTGTGGGATCTGGAAGAGTAGCAGTCAGGCACAGCTAATGAAGGCAGGGCGATTTTGTGGACGGCTTAAGAGTGGCCAGTAAATTGAACAGCTATGTCTCGTTAAGGCAATCCTTTTGTTTCACTCTGTAAAAGTCATTTGGTTTTCTCTTTTTGAGACCCGGGGCCGAGACCGTGGATCACAGTCCACTCTTTTAATGGTGAGACGGAGATTTGCAGAAGCTTCATAGTTCACAGCATCGCTCTTGTATGAGTCAAATGACACCACATGTTGGAACAGACAGCTGTCCAAGTCCAGATCAACTTGGCAGCTATCAGTACAACAAAATGGATTCAGACATTACAGAGATTTAGAGAGTAAAGGGCATTTGAGAGACGGACATGACAAGTTACACAGAGAAACAAGAGTCCTGCAGGGAAAACAACTGTCAGAGAGGATGCTGGGACTTCACCTTTGGCCTGACATACAGCGAAAGTCTCAGTTTCACAAAAACAGTGGATTAAGTAAAAATGATAATGCAGAATGAACCCTGTGTCTGAATAACAAGTGAGCGCTGTCAGCATTTCCATCCTAAAATACACTTCACACACCCAGACTAGTCAGCCGTCTGACTCTGTGCCACTTCACTCTCAGCAGCAAAGTATCAGTGAGACGAGTGGGTGATATTATGCAAGTGTTTGGTGTGCATCGCTGCACCACCTTTGGTATTTTAAGCACATCTGATTATACAGAAATGTCAGCAAAACATAAGGCCAAGTTGTGACTAATGTGGATTCAGCGCTACATCAAAGCGGCTGTAAGAGAGACCAGGGACCTGTTTTATAGAAGTGTGCAGACTCCACAATAAAAGGTGATACAAACACAAAAGTAAGTTATTTTAAAAACCACCCACATGTTCACCTACAGCTAATTCTCTCCATAGTGAATCATAATGAGAAGAAATGATGACCATAGTTTTTGTAAGGAATTCACAAACAAGAACAATAACGGTTTTATCAGTTCATTAGTGAGCTTTAAAGGTGCTGAGAGGCATTTTGTTTGTTTGTTTGTTTGTTCTTAAATCTTCGGAGAGAGCCGGGCTAGCGCTGTTTCCCTCTTTCTCACTCTTTATGCTAAGCTAACTGTGTCTTGGCTATAGCCACACACACACACACACACACACACACACACACACACACACACACACACTCATTCATTTGTAAAGTAAAACACCGGGAACCAATAAATGCCAGACATTCTTTCTCAGGCAGTATAAACTACAATTAAGTGGAACAGTTGAACACTGTCATTCACTCAAGTATGTGGGGGAAGGAATGTGAGTGTGTTTCTATGTCTGTGTGTGGCCGGGACAAGGTGTCTGCAACCACACTCTCTCTTACAGCGTGCTACAACACATGATCTCCTGAAATTGCATTTGTGCAGGTGATTTTAATCGCATG